TAAAGCTTTAAACTATAGCTGCTGCTATATAACTTTGTGTTATAAGTTTAAAGTACTTTAGCATAAAAGTTCTTTCCCTTTAAGTGTGATTTACAAAATTTACCTTGTGTAGGTGGTTTTATTATGTCCCACGATGAGGATGAGCATTCACTATCAATTTTTCCAGGCACCATCAAGAATGTTATTTTTCTTCAAAGCATATTTTCTTCCAAATGTATTAGTATGTCTATACTAACATTTCAGGTTTTTCAAAGAAAAATTGATTCATACAATTATGAATCATGTTGATAGTGCTTGCTAGATATGCAATTCATGTTGCTATCATCTGTTAGAGCTATAATTTATTGTGTACAAGTTACTCTGCTGGTATTTACACAATATAGAGTATTTTTTCCCTCTGACTGCAACATACTTTATACTACCAGGTTCACTGTGATGACCAAATCTTAGGTCTTTCCAATGAACTCAATTCCCATAGGATCTTGCACAATAAGAAGGAACATATTACTATCAAAACTGAAGCAAAACTATAACCCTATCAATAAAATGACAGCTAAAGACTAAGGACTATTTGAAGACAGTACACATAAATAACAATCAGATGAGTGTTTTATCATTAACATTTATTGATGCGATGGATAAATACAGATTGAGAAACATACCTGACAGCAAGTTATCAAACTGATAGCCAGACTATAAAATGTATACAACATCCTTTTTTAAATTTAAAATTTTGAATTTTTTACAAAGAGCCCTTACTACAATGGTCACTTACATCCTATCATTCACATAACAGCAGTAGAGATCCCAGGGGTAGCATCCAGAACAGAGGTGCCTCAAGGAAGACAGAGGCAAGGGCAGAATAATGTGCTGAGAAAGGACTCTCAAGAGCAATACAAAGAAAACAAACAAAAATCTCACCACAAAATTATACTTGAGTGACATAGATTGGTATGTGTTTTTTTGTTGTTTTGTTTTTCTTCTTCCTTTTTGCTCTTTGGTCTGAAGAAAATGGACAGTTTTGGGTGTGTGAAGTAGGGTTGGAAAAAGGTCAGCTTCAAATTCAGAAACCTAGGTTAACACTAAGTTAGGCTGCTGCATTCTTTTCTTTGGGTGCTTAAGCCAGCCAACACTTTGTAACCAATGACTAATCAGTCGGTTCCTCAGCTTTCACCTGAAGAGTTCCTGATTACCTAATGGAGACCTACTTGCTCTGGCTTCAATTAGCATGCTGTCAAGCATCCCTCTCGTGCTTAACATGGCAACATAAAACCTAAGAGTCTTTTCTTTTCATTCAACCATGAACAAGTAGACACTGCTTTTTAGTAAACATACTTTTTCTTTCCCTCCCTTTTCCAAGTTCATATTAAAAACTTTAGAAACATTAAAATGGAGAGCTCTCCCACTTAAAAAATAATTCTCATTCCAGAACTCTCTTATCAGGTAGGATTACAGTACCACGCTTGTTTCAAAACTCTCATCCACATTAAAAAAACAAAATAAAACTTGACAGTGTGGTGCAACATGAAAATTTCCTAAACTATCAGGAGCAAACACTCAGTTAAAAGCTGGGTGTTAACAAGCAGCAATGCAAGAAATTTGGGGAGGCATCAAAGTCACTGCAAGTTTAGTGGAACTATAGAAGGCTATTTCTCACCACCTGATGGGTTGCATAGACTGTTTAAATTCTCCCAAACCAAGAAAATATTTGTATTTCAACTTCAAGATGTTCTAGATTCTCCCTTTTCCTAGCATTAATATCAAAATAACTCATTAATAAAAGAAAAATCTTTTTAAAAAACTAATCAGTCCCCAAAATAAGGGAAACGCAGGTATGTTTAAAATCCAACCATAATGGGATAGACAGGGCCCCTCTGATTGCCTTCCAGAAGCAAGATATGAGGGGTATGCATTTTCAATATGAATAATTAGGTAGAGGCTTAAGGAAACCCAGCAGTGATGTTACCATGATTTTATTTCTATATCCTAACCCACTGCTGTTTGTTAACTGGCAATTAAAATTTTTCCTACCAACCTAGTGAAGCCAATACAGAACAATGTAGGATACACTCAAAACACTAAAAATCATTTTTAAAAAGAAAAAAAGCTGAGGGTCTCAGATATGAAAACATATTGATTCATGAGTGGGAAGACTAGACTAACACCTAAGTATTTTCTAAACCCAAAAAGCATAACTGATACTTCAGAAGACCAATTTGGCTTTAGATTAATGCTTCACTAGAGGTTAGCTAACAGCAGCTCAGGTGTCTGATTAAAAGCCCTAAGGACAATCCACAGGTATTTGTTTTTGCCAACATGAGAATCAAAGTTTTAAGAATGAGATTTATAGAATTTGAGGCTCCAGGCCTGCTTACCACCATTAATTATCCTTGACAGTCTACGTTAAAAGAAACAAAAAGCTATGTTTACTAGACACACTTTGGATGTATAAATACCATTTCTCACCTTTTGAAGGTATAAGGGTAGGAAAGACACAGAGCTTAGGAATCACACAACCCTTGAAACCTTATTAAGTTTATGGAATTTGGACACTACGCATGCTAGCTGACAGGCACATCTGCTAACCCAAACCAGCAACTTCATGCAGAGCCGATAAGGAGGTTCACGACATACGCACAGATGTAAAAGCAGACACTGTAGGTATCTTAAAACAGTACCAGGAGGCATTAATATAGAAAGGTCTCTAATCTGACCTACATCAGCAGTGCTCTACAATGCAAAGTCCAGACTACATAGCATAAAGCAGCTCATAGGCTCCAGTAAGTACGGTTTTCTAATTCATTCCTGATAAAGTTCTAAGGAACTTAACTACAGTACTGCCATGGAGAACAGCTATAAGGCCAAGTGGATATGTGCCTCTGTGGTGAGGGAGTGCATGTGATTAGAAAATATGTGACATTTGATGAGAATAATTAAAAGCTGGAAAAGACATTTTCACAATCAAATCAGTGATCATCAATCCCACAAAAATACAAATGCAAACTAAATGGCATATTCCCCTTTGAGAGGTCAGGAAGGAAAGCAGACGCCACCACACAAAATCCAAACAAATAGAAAGCCTAAAATCAGTAAACACAACCACACATCTACCAATTATCTGACACAACACAGAAAATATCAAAAAAAAAAAGAGGAAACTGTCATCCATAAAAGTGAAGTGACATTCCAAGTCAAGAAGTATTATTGGTTTACAGGTTGGCAGAGCGCTCCTTATTTTACACAGCAATTGCAGATTCATATATGATGGTTCATATATGCAGATACAGGACACCAATTCACCTTGTTAAGGTTTACTCTTTCCTACCAATCCTTTCTATACTGAGGCTGTACATCATCAATTCCAACTACCTGTTTTCTTCCCAACCTATTTCTGGCAAGGAGCAGCACATGTACAACTCCTGTCTCCCTCTGACTTCCAATTAAAAGAATTCTTCTCCTTAAAGACTATTTGGCATGAAGTATGCTGCATTAAAAACAAAACAAACTCAAATTGCACCATCTTTTTCACAGCAAAAAGTGCCATGAAGACCAACGAATATCACATCAAATGATCTGTGTCTAGGTGGCAATTTCAGTTAGACAGCTTGGCTTAGAATTCTTCCAGCCATGATTTTTTGAAAGATTTCTTTCCTCATCAAAAATGTTTACTCCAACTACCAGGGATAATCAAGCCCCCATAACAACAGGATTCCTGACCTGTTTTTTTTAAAGGACTCTCAGAAATCTCCTTAAAGATCTCTGTCTAGAATCTAAAGCCACCAACAGTGAACAATCTAAACTTAACAGTATTTGTTGGCTAGGCTTTCTCGCTCTCATGGCACCAATGTTAAATTCACAAGCTCCAATCTCTGAAGTCATATAGGCTGCAAAAACTTGAGGATGCAGCTGTTTCCCTTCAGAAATACAGATAAAAAGTGAGTTTTAAGTTCATAAGGTAATTTAAAATGAGTACAATGTCCTAAAAACTCCAAATCACAATTTCATTGTTCTTAGTATCCTCTAGTTCCACGGCTAGTTCGGCTTCTCCCAGAACTATTCTTACATATGGCCTGGGCTTTCACAGGTGGGATATATACAGCACATCCCCTTTCCCATCAGAGACCCTGGGCTGCTCTCATTTGAACATTTTCCCAAAGCCCAACTTGAAAAAATGACACACCCAATTCTGCAGAGCAGAAGCTGGCCTTGCTCTCCAATACTTCTTCCTCAATCCCACCTCTGTCTTGCATCAAAACAAAAAAAGGGGTAAAAAGAAAGATTGCATAAGAGTTAAGAGTCAGGCCACTGGCTGCACTTGCCCAAAATGGCAGTAAGAGGTCTACTACTCAATTACAACATAAAGAAAGAGGAAAATACCATGTCAAATATATGCCTCTTCCTTCCTTTATGTTTTCAAGGCCAACCATGTTCTCTGTTGGGAAGTGAAAATGGTAAGGGACAGGGAGGGGAAGCTAAAACATGATTTTTAAACACACACTCTTAAAAACACACATACTCACACTTACACAAACACACTTAAAGGTCGTGACACTTCAAGTGGCCTGAGCCAATTTCAGAACTCTTGGCCAAATGCCTACCCTCCCACCCACCCTGCACACATTCCCACCCTCCAATCCCACCCCCTGGAGTCATTGCTATGTATCTCATACACACAGCAAAATCCCTATCCCCTCCCCAATCATATAAAAAAACTAAACAGATAACTTACTTTCTTTAAATTATTTCTTTTAAAGTCTCTTAAAAGATTCTGACATTTAAATACTTCCTCTCTTCTGATATATTAAACACCGCAATTGTGTAATAAAACAAACCCTCCATGTTTCAGTTCTGGCAAGAAGAGGGAAGATCATTAATTCCAATCAACCTAATTATGAGGTGCAGAGGCTAAGCATAGAGAAAGTGTTCTTAATCCTTCACAGCTTAAACACATCCCACCTCTCCAATATCAGTAAAAACTATAGTAAAATGGTTAAGTGTATGAGGCAGCAGATATAATAACCAAGGCCCTCTACCACCCTCCCACCTATGTTGCAATATCAATTTATTCCCTAGTCCAAGAAGGGTGACATATTTCATAAGGGAAGTAATTTTCATAGTCCAGAATCAGTAGTCAAAAAAAAAAAAAAAAACGTATGTTTCCTTTCTCTTTTTTTTTTTTTGTCTTTACTTAGGAAGGGGTGGAAGTGGTGGAGGAGGTTCTGATGGTAGAGGTGGTGGCCGGGGTTTGTCTGTATTGCCAGATCTGGAGGAGATTCCACCAGCTCGTGGATTCAGATATTCACCATAAGAATGAACAAATTCAAATGCTGGGGGCTGAGTTGGCTGAACACCCTGGGCACTGAGCAGGGAGTGAAGCATATTCACAGTATCTTGATAGTCTATTGTCTGGGTTGTACTGTGACCATTGGCCCCAGTGGGGCCTTTATCCAGTTTCATATGAGGAACTCGAGTTTTACAGCTGGGCTGTGAAAAGGGAAGTCCACTTGTGTCTGAGCTATGCCCAGGCAACTGGGCCACTGTAGGAAGAGGAGGGAAGGAGAAATTTATGGAAGCGGATTTAGTACTCTTGGCAATCTTGGCTGGATGATCAAACACTGCCCCTCCGGTCTCTTCAGGGGGGCCTCTTTTACGAGTAGAACTTGAAGAGGAGAAAGAACTAGACAAGCTATAGGTTTTGTGTACTAAGGTGTTTGTCTGGCTACTATGTTTTGGATCACCTGGACGTTTGTTCCCTGTACCAGCAGGAAGCTGTAAGTGAGAGTGCTTGTGAGAGTGGTGATTATGATGATGATGATGATTAGATGGGTGAGTCTTGTGCTTTTCTTTGTGCTCTCGGCTCTTTAAGACACTGTCATCTACAGAATTGTGCTTGTCAGCTGTGGCATGAACTTTAAAGCGCATTTTTATCTCCTCCTGTTTTGAAGAGGCAGCTTTATCTCCACCTGCCACTGGGATTCTCATTTTGAGAACTGTTTTGTCAGCCTTTTCCAGAAAAGGCCGCTCAGGGTTTTCTGAGCCCTCTATGGGCATTTTCAGAATCACTGAAGAATGGCTATCATGGTGAGACAGGAGATTTTGGGCGGCATATGCATATTGTGACTTAACATTGGCCTCCATGTTCTCCAATTGCCTCTTCTGGGCAGCCAACTCTTCTGCGTGCTTTGCACGGTATTCTTTCAGCGACACTTTAGCTGATGGCACACTCTTACTACTCTGTTTCTGGGAAATAAATGCATTTGAACCATCCTGTTGCAAGGAATGATCAACTCCTGTAAGTGCTAAATTCTCACTAGTCCGATGACCCTGAGCAGGTTCTAGTTTAAAAGGAGGTTGAGAGGACAGCCAACGTTCGCCCTGCAACATCTCCCCACTGTTTAATTTGCTGGATGACCCTTCAGAGATTGGAAGGGAAGGCACCGCACTTGTGGTAGAAGTTGACATGCTCATTAAACCTGCAATGGTTGTGTCTGAAGAGCTCTGAGAAATCATATTGAGGATTGTCTGCTCTGAAGTATTTTCATCCGCTCCTCGGTCATCTGCTTTTGTTTTCTTGGCAGGCTGGCATGCCTAGAATGGAGCAAATAACAACTCTTCGCATCAGATAATTTATTAAATGGAAAAACACTAAGAGGAGCAGATTGTATTTGTGCAACACTGGAAGTTTTGAATAAGCCACAAGCAAAAGGGTGCCCTAACATGAGGTCCAATAAATACTGCCATCAGGAGGAACTTTCAATCAAGAGTCACAGTAATCTATACTCATGTCACAATGCAACGACAACAAAAAAAGAATTTGTGCTTATTTAAAAACCATTCATGAACATCTGTGCCTTTTTATGACTGCTTATGATTGTAGTTAGTACATAAATTCTAAAAACTTTGGTGAGATTCTATACGAAATTAAAAGATGAATTATGTGGTCTCAAGCCTACTTCTAACCCAAGGCTTCTAACAGGCAAACTCATTTTCCACAATTCACTCAATTTAGGAGAATGAAATTAAGCTTATCAGTCTGGATTTATGAGAAATGAGGGAAATGTTTTTAAGCAAACTTTCTGTCTGACACCAGGGGAAAAAAAGGAATGATTATTCATAAGTAAGACGTTGAAGGGCTAGCTGTTTAGCTCAGCTGGTTAGACCACAGCCTTGTAACATCAAGGTCATGCGTTTGGTTCCCCAAACCAGCCATTGCCAAAAAAAAAAAAGTAATGGTTTAATGGTTTGGGCTGTCCAGTTAGCTCAGTTAGTTAGAATGCCACCTTCTAGCACCAATATCAAGGTACTGGCCAGCTGCCAAAAAACAAACAAACAAAATACCACTGGAGAAAATTATGCAAAGTGAAACAACCCAGGTGCAGAAATAAATATCACATGTCCTCACTCATAAGTGAGAGCTAAAAAAATAAACAAACTAATACACTGAACTTTTTAAAAGGAGAGAACAGAACTGTGGTTACTAGAGGTAGAAGCAGGGGGACAGAGAGGAGGATTAATGGGAAATTAATGAGAAATCGGTTAATGGACACAAAGAATGAATACATATTATAATGTGAATAAGCTAACTATTGTGATTTGATTATATACAACTACTAATAGTCAACTTTGTACCCCACAAATATGTATAATAAATTATCTTGCAATAAAAAAAAGATTTTGAAAAATATTCGAAATACAACTTTAAACATCAATCTATATAAAAACAGAATTCTAAAATCCATTTCAAAAGTACATAATGTCAAAGACAAAATTATAACATCAGCTCTAACCCTGTAAACCTCGTAATTCTATATCTTGACTTTATCAAAAGTCAGTACTCTGACTTAGAGAAGCCATGTTTTTTTCTCTGTCTCCACACAGAAAATACTCAACCAATGCTGCTGACCAACTGACCATATCATAGAAGTTGTACACACAAAGCAAATCTTGCTATCACCTACAGCCATTAACTTCTGGGCCAGTATCCAAGCTACGAAGTTGAAGTCATAATTATTATGCAACTATAAAAAGGGAAATTCCAAGCCTATGGTACATATCCAATTCTGGTATATCCACTACTGTAGACAAAAGAAGAAATTGGTTTTGTTCCAGAGACTGACAGCTGTAATTCTTACCCTCCAATTCCAAATGCGTTTGAGCCTGTTGGGAGTTTTCTCCAGAATCTGTAGAAATTCATGTGTCAATTCTACAAATAAAGAGCACATTCAAGAAAGATTCAGAGAGACAGAAGTAATGAACAAGAATAACCTCAACTAACTCACTATTTTCATTTGTATCAAGTCACCTTCGGCCAGATATGTGACAGAACAAGAGAGAATGCTTTTCAAGGTCCCTTACTCTAAAACTTACCATCTAAAAGTTCCAAGGTCACAGTGGCATCAACATACTCCCACCAGTGCTTCCCGTCAGTTGAGACTGGGATCTCCCAGTTGGACCACTTGCAAGCCAGATGAATGCAGACACAGGCCACCACAGGAGGTGTGTACTGCAGGCTAAATGTGGTCAAATGCAGGCTGACATCAGAGGGAAGGAAACAGAGAGTGTCATGAGCTCTCAATTCTCAACCCAAAGCTAAAACTCTCCATTATTTAAAAAAAAAGTTCAAAAAGACACAGGAGAGTAAGAAGGGCAAGAAATATCCAGTGCTCTGACCCAGCACTCATTATAATGATTTTCCATTAACTCACCTGCTCAGATAACATTTCTAAATTTTTTGACTACTTATCATTCAATCCACACACTGACCAGTGACCCAAAAACAAAAAACAAACAAAAAAGGCTAGATACTCAGTTTTTTATAACACTGACTTCTGGACAAGTATCCAAGCCCAGAAATCAGTGTTTATTACCTATTATCCTAAGAATAAGCTCAGACCTTAAAGAAATATCCTGAAATTATGTCGTCACTTGCCAATCACAGTTCTGGTCTACTTAAAATTAATAAAAAGACAATCATTCTCTCAAGTGTGAATATGCTTGATTGATGGTTTATTTTTAAAATTTCTCATTTCAGGTTATAAAAATGAATTGTAGCCCTGACAATTATTAGGGGTATCTTTGGTTTCCAACAAATAAGAGATGAGAGCAAACAGGTCATTTGGTAATACAAGTTATCTACTAATAATTAATTTTTTAAAAAAGGGAAGAAGAAAGAAAAGGTATTGCAACTCTTTACACACGTAAGTGCCCATTTGTTTGGGAGCAGGGGAAGGAAAAGGAGTCTTAAAATATCATAATTATCGCAGAATCCTCCAAATTAGACTTTTGGTCACAACAATGAGACCTAAGTTTATCTGAACTTTCAGAACAGTGCTCTTGGATATTTTAAGGCAAAGTAACACATGCAGAATGGAGTAGGCCATCAAAGAATCAGTATTAAATAATTTCATCAGCTTGGCAAATTAATAAGCACCACGGAAATTTAAGGTACAACACAAAAACTGTGAAGAAAAATCAACATTCACCAGAGTTGTCTATAACACACTATATCAAAGGTCATTTCCCCATGCATGTGTCTTTGGGTTCTAGTTTACTAAGTAGTTCTATATATTCCCTAAAAGGTAATAATTCCAACCCAAGTAAAGTCTTATCCCAAAAATATAAGGAAAAAAATTAAAATATAAACCTGTTGGTTGCCATGAAGTAAGAAGTCTGTGCTAAGTCCTTGCTTGCTAAAAACAAAACAAAACAAAATGGGGTGGGGGGAGAGAAAAAAAACTATTAGTCCCATTCATTTTCAAGAGATATTTAGTGAACATTTAATATTTGCAAAGTACTGGAAATACAGTGGTAAATGAGACAGACATGGTCCCTGACCACCTGATGTTTATATTCTACCAAAGGAGACAGATTAACTATTTTTAATGTTAATATTAATAATTATGCTGCTTCCAGACCTAGGAACTCAAGCTTTATTCTACACACCAGGTATCTGAGATACTTGTTTAAAATGCAATTCCCAGCTTGCTCCCTAGAGTTTTATTCAGTATGTTTGGAGAAGGGCATATTAAGCATTTTTAACAAGTAACCCAGAGTCTGATGCAAAGGTTCACTGAGAAACACTAAGCTAGGGAATGAACTGAGATGATATGGAGGCAAGATCAGAATCTAGAAGACTTAGATATATTTGAGAAAAGTGACATTTGCTTATTGAAAAAAAATTTTTTTAATTGAGTAACCTGTAATTTAATCCCCAAATCATCAAATAACATAAATTATTTAATATATTACAACGAAAAAAAAAACTGCTCTGGGTAACAAAGCAAATTTTTATCTTTCTTAGAACTCAGTCTTTTCAATATTAACATATATTGATCTCTGCTTAACCCTATTCTTGTTTAATGTAAACATTTTAATGCTCTCAAATATAAAGAACTTGGGAAAACTGGGAATTTTTACATCAAACACACGTTAATAAAATGTAAAATAAGGCCAATTAACAGGTCTACAAAACTATAAAAGGCATTGGGCCGGCCCGGTGGTGCACTGCTACAGTGCGCCGCCTGGGAAGCGCGGCAGCGCTCCCGCCGAGGGTTCGGATCCCACATACAGACCGGCCGCTCACTGGCTGAGCAAGGTGCGGGAGCAACACCAAGGGTTGCGATCCCGGTGCCGGTCCCGGTCCGGTACGGGTGCGACACTGAGGGTTGCGATCCGTTGCCAGTCACGAAAAAAGACAAAAAGGAAAAAAAAAATTAAAAAATTTAAAAAAAATAAAAAAAGAACTATAAAAGGCACTTAAGTGCACAATGGTATCCAGTCTTGATACTACTATTTAAACTAAATAAGAGGAACTGAGTTTCATTCAAATATAGCTACTATAATTAAATTAGAATAAAAAGAAAAGTCCTGCCAAGCTTTAGAAGTCAATCATGGAAATAAGTTCAAATAAATTGTATATGATCCTCTGGGTGGCCTTTAGCAAACCCTGGAATTAAAATAAGATCACCCACTCCCAAGACTTTCTTCCTTTTTTTTTGTCTTTTTTCGTGACCAGCAACGGATCGCAACCCTCTTTTTTTTTTTTTTGTTGGCTGGCCAGTAGAGGGATCGAGCCCTGGACCTTGGTATTATCAGCACCACACTCTAACCAATTGAGCTAACCAGCCATCCCATGATGTAAATTATGCTAAAAGGATAATTGGTTTCTGTAAATTCGATCTTATTCGTTTCCACACTAAAATATTAATAAACATTTATTCCATCAGAAAAATATCATTGTCTCCTGAAATATGATTGATTACCTTAAAGATAATTTATTTAAAATAAAAAGTTAACTAGCAGAATTAACTTCGGAGATAAACTTTGAAGAACTCATCATGTGTATATATGAAGGTACTTCAAAAAAGTTTGTGGAAAAATAAAATTAAAAGATAATACAAATCTTTCCACCTTCATATGTGCAAAAAAATACAGCTGTACCAATAACTTTTAAACACAATTCATGAAATCCTACCCTACTTAGAGAAAAGTGAAAACCCAAAAGAACAAGAAAAGAAAATCGTTATTTCCATATTTGCTCAGCTTTTAAAGTCAGCCTGTCCAGCGAAAATAATAGATAATAACAGAACATCATCAGAGTTGCCCATGCAACTGTGGGCAATAGCTTGAGTTCCTCCACTTTCACTGCTGTTCTATGAACACTGGTTACCAATTTTAAAAACAAATGCTGTTATCTAAATACAACGACAAACACACCGTAACAACCCATGGAAGAAAAGGGTTCTTTAGATAGTTTTTGCCATTCTTTATCAGGTTAAAGACTGCCAAACCTTAAAAAGCAAATCATGAACCCTAGAATGGGAAAAACAAAACAAAAAAACACTTACTGCTGTTTCAAAGGTCAGTTGCACCTACAGGCTCTCTATGGCACAGGCCATAGTTAAACTCTAAGCCCCACAACCCCTGTAATCTGGAAACAGATGGCCACTTTGCAAAAACCTTCCCAAGGGATTTTCTTCCTGTTTCCTATTTCACAAATGGCGGGGAGGAGGGGGCAGCTGGCCAGTACTGGGAACAAACCCTGGACCTTGAGTTTAACCAATCTCTTTTGCAAATTTTAAAATCAAATTATTACATAATTTTCTTTTAATGTTTTAAAGAAAATAAACTTACCCAAAGTCTGTAAAATTATGCTTTCTAAAATCACCAAATCTTGAACTTGCTGCAGGTAAGCCTACAGGTAAGATAAGATAAATTATTCACGAAAAAGACAAAATATATAAAGTGTAAACAACTCTAACAACCCCTCCCAGGAAAACCAAAACAGTAAAAGACGGGTGGGGTTGGTAGGTATGGTAGGAACTGAAATACAATCCTTATTCCTTATCTCATTCAGTACAGATTTTCCTTTTAAAAAAAAAAAAAAAAAAAAGGTACACTGAGAGATAACACTTCATTTATACATGGCTACAGAAAAAGCACCAGAGACCCGGTTTATTTTGACTGACAGATATTTTAGGTTTCAAAGTTCATGTGATTTAGACACAAGAAAGTTAAAATACATCTTTTTTCAACATCATCAAAATACAGTTGCAGAACTTTCCTATAGTACTATTTAACTGATATCAAACATTTGACTCCTGTTAAACATTCCCTTTGGGAGTAATGCTAGATTTCTAAAAATTAATAGAAAAGTTCAAAGGAAAAGGGAATAAACAAAAAAATTCTTCCAAATTTATGCCAGCCAATTATAGCCACTAGCCACATGTGGCTATTAAGCACTTGAAATGCAGCTAGTCTAAACTGAACTGTGTATAACTACAAAATACAAACTGGATTTTGAAGACTTAGCTAAAAAAAAGAATGAAAAATACCTCACTGATAACTTTTTAATATTGATTATATGCTAAAATGATAATATTTTAGATATACTGGGTTAAATAAAATATATTACAATTAATTTCCTTTTTTTCAAAATGAGGAGTGGGTGGACAGTGGCTAGTACAGGGATCCCGAACCCTTGACCTTGGTGTTATCAGCACCACTCTCTAACCAAGTAAGCTAACAGGTCAGCCCTAAAATGAGGATTTTTAATGAAGTTTAATGAAAAGAAAAATTTAAATTACACATGTGGCTCCCACTGTATTTCTACTGGACAGCTGTGTTCTAGAACTCTGAGAGAATGAGACCTGGCTCAGGAGTTAAGAGACCTATATTGTAGTTAACTTTTCACTTGACTTTATGATTTGAATTAAGTCTGACAAGGACTTAAACTATGTTAGTTCTCCTTTACATACAGTGGAGAAAATATCTTTTCCTAATCGCCTCACAAGGACTGGAGACCCATGTGAGAAGTTATGTAAATACGCTTTGGAGAAGGAAAAAAAGTAGGGATTATTTTCTTTGTTTTATTTTCTTGACTCAATTCTATGGACCAATGGCATTTACTAGTCTCTAACCTAAATAAAAGTTCAGAGAAATCACCCTTTTCTTTTTTTTTCCTTTTTGTCTTTTTTCATGTCCGGCAACGGATCGCAACCCTCAGTGTCGCGCCCGGACCGGGACCGGCAACGAGATCACAACCCTCGGTGTTGCTCCCACACCTCGCTCAGCCAGTGAGCGGGAACCGGTCTGTATGTGGGATCTGAACCCTCGGCGGGAGCACCGCCACGCTCCCAAGCGGTGCACTATAGCAGTGCGCCACCGGGCTGGCCCGAAATCACCCTTTTCAACAAGAGCTACCAGTGTGGCCCCAACAGAAAAATGAAGGAAGTCAAGACATTGCTATGCAAAACATAATTAGAAAGGACTATTGATAAAAACAAAAATAAAAATAACAAAAAACCTCTCTCCAATGTGATCAGAACACACAATTCCATTTAACTATTTGATAAAGGATGACCCATGTATTCACTGTGAGACATAAGTAATATAGAACAGAAATTCATAATTTTTCTCCAATACTTACAAATGTCAGACCTCTAAACTCCTCACTCCCCAATCATTGACTTCTAAAACCAGTAGTTTCCCTTGTTTAAAGAAAGTCAAGGAAGGATACAAGAAAAACAAAACGTATGTGTACATGCATAGGATAAAGGTCTGGAAGAAGATATATCTAACTATAATCAGCAGTATCCTCCTAGGAGAAGGGGAGATTAACTCTAACTTTTACTTTAAATGTTCCTTAAGTGTTTGGATTCTTTCATAACAAGTATATATAATTTTTATAATTTCTTAAAAAAAAAAACAGAACTAGTGAGGACTCATTTTCTTAAAGATGCATAATAAAAATTCATCTATAAGAATGTTCTTCATAACATTTATAGTCGTTTTAAAAAGCTGGAAATTATCTACACTTCTTAATGGAGAATGGTTTAAATATATATATATACATGTATATGATAAAATAGTATCTAGATATTTTTTAAAAGTAGACAATAAGATGGGAAAATATTTGGGATAAAGTGAGGGAAAAAAACAAAATACATGCTCACATAGCTATTCAATTTTATAGAAAAGAAGCTAAAGATAGTAGGGGTTCACATATATACCTGTGCTTCAGTGGTCCAAAATAAATGTAGGTAATATACCTTCTTTGTTTTTCTGCATTTCCCAATTTTACAACAATGAATACAATTAACTTTTGCCATAAAATTTATATGACTTTTTTGTTAAGGAAAAAACAAACACTAAAAGTTTCCTTTAATAGCCCTCATTCAAACTTCAGTAAATCAGTTACAAAATTAAGATTAAAATAAATTTAAAAAAAAAAAAAAAAAAACCAGATGTATAATCTCCTACCTCACTCCTAGTATCAGGAAGTGACTCCTGCGGATGGAGACAAGTATGTGCTACTTTGATGACATGTTCCAATTTTTTTGGTTGCTCCTCTACTTTAGCTGCTAGAAACAAGGCTGCTGGAGCCACAGACTGGATGGAGAGAAAATAAATAATATTTGTTATTTATTTATTTATAAATCAAGGTAGATCTTAAGAGTACCTAAGCCTCAAACAAATCAAGTTGTTTGCTTCAACTTCATCACCTCATTTATGCTCTTTCACCTACTTTTATCTTTCTCTCTCCTATTCATTAATCCATGTCCACTTGCAAACACCAATCCTTCAACAAACTCTGATTAAAACCTATCTATGAGAGAAGCTATGAGACATAAACAGATAGTTTTCTATTTAAAACAAGATTCTTTATTAAGTTTGTATCAAATCGCCCTATATATTTTTTCGTTAAGAACTAAATTGAAATGTCCAGAATAGGCAAACCCACAGAGAGAGAAAGTAAGTTAGTGCTTGCCAGGGGCTGCGGAGAGAGGGGAATGGGAGTGATTGCTAATGTGTGAGGAGTTTCTGGAGTGACATAAACATTCTGGAATTAGACAGTAGTGATGGTTGTGCAATTTTGTGAATATACTAAAACCCAGTAAATTGTACATTCTAAAACAATGAACTTTATTATATGTAAATTACATCTCAGTTTCTGATATATATATATATATATATATATATCAAATAGTACTTCAAAAATACAAAGCATGGTATTACACTCAAGTATTATACATAGAAGGCATTTTGGAGAAAAAAATTCAAGTCAGTATACAAGTAAACGACAGACACTAAACAATATAAAACATTAGAGCAATATGACACAAAGGTAGCCTAGTGATGTGGGAAACCTCAGGAAATTGAACTTTTCCTGAATCTTAAGAATATTCCAATGAATCAAAGATTACAATAGTAAGAGCTAGAATTCACAAGGAGTCAAGGAAATACAATAAGTAATTTTTCAGAATTTAAATATATATTTCACTTTAATGACTAGAGCTGACAAACATTCTAACATAGTTGTCTCTCAATATCTGCAGGGGATTGGTTCTAGGATCCCCATGTATACCAAAATCTCTGATGCTTAAGTCCCTTATATAAAATGGCTTAGAATATACTTTAAGGTGTGGGGATCTGGGCATGAAGCACATTTTAAACACTAAACTGAGCAGTTACATGAAATGGATGATGGGATGCAGGACACTAAAGATCTGGTTCATTTGTTTTGTTTTTGGTGGCTAACCAGTACAGGGATCGAACCCTGGACCTTGGTGTTATCGGCACCATGCTCTAACCAACAGAACTACCAGCCAGCCCCCACCCCCCTTTTTTTTTTTTTGTGGACACTAAAGATTTTTAACAAGAGCAACACTAAAGATTTTAGAAAAAATGTAGTTTAAGAAATATTAGGGCCGGCCTGTGGCTCACTCAGGAGAGTGCGGTGCTGATAACACCAAGGCCACGGGTTCGGATCCTATATAGGGAAGGCCGGTTCGCTCACTGGCTGAGTGTGGTACTGACAACACCAAGACAGGGGTTAAGATCCCCTTACCGGTCATCTTTAAAAAAAAAAAAGAAATATTAGAAAGATTAATCTCATGGTAAATTAATCTAGAAGGAGGAAAGGATGGGATACACTAAAAGTTAATTTTTAAAAATGAAAAAAATTTAATAATCAGGCATTAAGAAATAAAAGGTTTTTCTGTTTGTTTTTTCCAGCTGGCCGATAAGGGGACCCAACCCATGGGGCTGCGCTCTAACCAACTAAGCTAACTATCCAGCCCAGGAATAAAGTTTAGAGTGGGCACTAGCAGTAGAGAAAGAAAAAAGCACAAGCATCACTTTGGAAAATTAATAGGGCTGCACTAAATATACATATGTATGTACATACAGAGAAAAAAATTCAAATGGGCTATACTCCAAAATGTTAACAGGATTATCCCTAAAAAGTGGGTTATAAGGAAATCTTCATTTTCTCCTTCATTTTAATTTTATGATAATAAAAAAAATTTATAGAGACAGAAAAAATAGTAACACTATAAAAATTAATAAGACTTTATAACTGATTGGACAAAGGGGAAAGAGAAAAGGACAAGTCAAAGACAGCACTAAGATTTTACGCCTATACAACTTTGCCTTCCAGGAACTAAAAAAATATATGAAAGGAGCTAACTAAAATATGGTATACAAACAATGGATAACAAAGTAAGATAAAATCTCATTAAATGAAAGACTGCAAAAGATAAATTTCAATTTCATTTTTGTGCACTCAACCATATAAATACTCAATGCTCCTCACTCAATGCTCCTCATGGAATCACTTTTCAAGCTTGCTTATCAAAGCATTTTCCCTTCAAAGGCAAAGTTTCTCTAAGAGGAATTCTTATAACCAGTTAAGAGCATAAAATTTGTACCAGCCAGCTACTAAAAAATATATATATAAAATTTTCTCCATTTTAAAAGAACAATAATAATGTCAGCTAATATTTATTGATTGCTATGTGCAGGCACTTTGTAAATTAATTTATTTAAATCCTATTAACTACTCTATGAGATAGGGACTATTAATGTCTCCATAAAGATGAGAACTCTGAGGCCTATGGTAACTTGCCCAAAGCCACACATTAGGAAGCACTGTAGCAAGGTTCCAAATCTAGATGTTTGATTTCACAGGCCATACTTTTAGTTATAAGGAAATCTTCATTTTCTCCTTCATTTTAATTTTATGATAATAAAAAAAATTTATAGAGACAGAAAAAATAGTAACACTATAAAAATTAATAAGACTTTATAACTGATTGGACAAAGGGGAAAGAGAAAAGGACAAGTCAAAGACAGCACTAAGATTTTACGCCTATACAACTTTGCCTTCCAGGAACTAAAAAAATATATGAAAGGAGCTAACTAAAATATGGTATACAAACAATGGATAACAAAGTAAGATAAAATCTCATTAAATGAAAGACTGCAAAAGATAAATTTCAATTTCATTTTTGTGCACTCAACCATATAAATACTCAATGCTCCTCACTCAATGCTCCTCATGGAATCACTTTTCAAGCTTGCTTATCAAAGCATTTTCCCTTCAAAGGCAAAGTTTCTCTAAGAGGAATTCTTATAACCAGTTAAGAGCATAAAATTTGTACCAGCCAGCTACTAAAAAATATATATATAAAATTTTCTCCATTTTAAAAGAACAATAATAATGTCAGCTAATATTTATTGATTGCTATGTGCAGGCACTTTGTAAATTAATTTATTTAAATCCTATTAACTACTCTATGAGATAGGGACTATTAATGTCTCCATAAAGATGAGAACTCTGAGGCCTATGGTAACTTGCCCAAAGCCACACATTAGGAAGCACTGTAGCAAGGTTCCAAATCTAGATGTTTGATTTCACAGGCCATACTTTTAACCACAAGCTTGACCTCTTGAGAGTCAACAAATGAGAGTAAAATACACCTACTCAAATTTGTGAGGTATTAAATACAGGATCTGTATTTTGAAAAATATAATGTACAACATAAACACATAAACACACACCACAAATAGTCCACCACTACTTTTATATTCCCCCACTTGAAAATATTTAAGACAGTACATATAGAAATTCAATTAATGAAGCTGAATTTCTCTCAAAATGAGAGTAAACACAATTCCAGAACTTAACTGAAAAGAAATAAACCAGTCATTTAACCATGTCTACTAAAGAAATAAAATTTTCAATTAAAAGGCAAGTACTCTACCTACAAGGTAGAGTATTGTATCTTGATCTGAGTGATTGTCACAAATATATAATAATGCAAACATTAATCGATTTGCATGCTTCAGATTTTTATGCTTTACTGTATGTTATACCTCAATAAAAATTTTCAAACAAAAAAAAAAGAAAAAAGAAAGGCAAGAGTTCTAGGCTCCAAAACCCTGTAAACAAGGAGAACGATTTGCATGCTTCAGATTTTTATGCTTTACTGTATGTTATACCTCAATAAAAATTTTCAAACAAAAAAAAAAAGAAAAAAGAAAGGCAAGAGTTCTAGGCTCCAAAACCCTGTAAACAAGGAGAAACAATAACACAAGAAAAATATTTACAACACCTGTCAACAGCTCTAAGAGCTCATGTAAAAAAGATAATCAGAACAATAAAAAAGGGGGCAAAGAGAACCAATAGTCTCAATTCTTCAATTTCATAAGAAGAACAATGATCAAAGGGCAAAAGAAGCTCAGCTTCACTAACTGAAGAAATGTAAATTAAGAAAAATAATTTAGGACCCCATCTATGTTGTTCATCAATATATCCCTAGCACTTGACAAGTAGTTAGAACTCAATAAATATTTTCTTGAAGTAATGAATATTTGTTATTAGAGTGCAAAGGAAAGGACCCTCTCCTATAGTGCTGGAAATAATGTATACTGGTATAATATTATTATTACGCTTTTATTTATTTATGTTTTTGGCAGTTGGCCAGTACAAGGCTCAAACCCTGAACCTTAGTATATCAACACCACACTCTAACCGGATGAGCTAACTGGCCAGCCAAAGGTATAATTTTTCTAATAGGGCAAATTGACACAACAAAAATTTTACATATGCATACCCTTGGGCAAAGCAATTCCACCTATAGGAATTTATATTAAAATGTTCATATAAGTGCACTATAAAAGTACAAGACTATCCCATGTAACATTATTTATAGTATAATCAACTAGAAACAACCCAAATATCCACAAATAGGGAGCTGGTTAAATAACGGTAACTACACAAATACTATGTGGCCATTTAAAATAATAAGAAACCAATATGAAAGGATGTCCAATATATACCGTTAAGTGATAAAGGCAAGTTGCACAACAGTAGTATAGCAAGACATGATTTTTTTAATAGACACTAGTATATGTACACAAATATGTCTAAGACACTATATGCCAAACATTTATCAATGATTACCTCTGAAAGGTGGGATTACAGAAGAGCTTTCACTTTCTACTTTATATATTTTTGTATTGTTTCTATTTTTACCATGGGAATTTATTACCTTTGTAATAAGAAGGAAAAAAAAAAACATGAAAAAATGCATGAGGGCTTGACAGGATATATCAATGCCACAACAAAGTACTAAGTACCCTCAAATTTTAATTTGGATTCCATCACAGCTAAACTTTTAACATATTAAAAGAGTGACATTTTTAATCTGTTATTCCAGAATGTGCCTAAAATCAATCCTCTAAAGAAGATCAACAACCCCAAATTAATCACTGGATTTTGGAAAAGGTCATGACATCCAAAAGAATATCTCTTTATTGGATAATTACTAGACCACTCATTCATTCAACAAGTTTACTCTTTTTTTTTTGAGAGTTGGCTGGTACAGATCCCTTGATGTGTTGTTATCAACACTATTCTCCAACCAACTGCGCTAACTGGCCAGCCCTGATTTCAAATCTTTATCATAGTAAAAGGAAAGAATTATAGAAAACCTTCAGAATAGGCAAGACAGCTATGGACTTCCTCTTCAAATTTTCATTCTTTATCCACTACCTTCTATTCTGGTGCTATCAGATAGCCTCATTAAATATTGATATCCTTGTCTCTCCCTTAATAAGAAGGGCGTGCTCTTCCTGGGTGAGGGATATGTTTAAAAAAAAGAAGGGTATACTCCTTGCAATCAGAGGTAAGGTATGGCTGGAGGTATGGGGGCTAATAACAGAAGAAAACTAACTGGATAATTGGCATAAATCAGAAATACTTAGTCCACAAATCCAAAGGGTTTCTTGTGCAATTACTTCCAATACTTACTCCATCAATTTCTTACACTACAGGAGCTATATCTAGCTTCACACTGTCTCTTCCAACAGCACACACACCCAAAAAGCTCAAAAACCATCATCCTAAGGATAAGTCTAAAATAAGTTCCCTCAAAAGCATAACCTTTTCTTTAAAAAAAAAAATGAAATATTTGACTCACAAATTCTTATAAAGCGTTCATCAAATTTATTCCTATTACCTTGGGATTTTATTAAACAAATACAGTCTTACCTGCAACCTGGATATCACTATGTATTCACTTCCAAGTCAATTACAATAATGTTAATAGGGCCATTTCAGGTAGCAAAACTGAAAATAGAACTATTTACAATTCTGTCCAGAAAAAAAAAAATCTATTACTATTATTTTCTTTGTTCTATTCTTAAAAGCCATTTCCCCACTCATTATTACATAATGTACCTTCCCCTCCAACCAGTCATTGATCAGAATTTTATCGAAGGCTTTTGGAAAACCTAAATAACTTACATTGACTTGTTTTCCTGGGACATTGTTATTATTTGCCACTTCGAAAGTTACGCTTAAATTAAGCATAATTTCCCATTTAATGCTGCTCCTCCAACCCAAAAATATTAGCTTTAAGTATTCGATAGTTTATTTCTTTATTAGATAAGCCACCTTCTCTAAGAATACACTAAACCTACTAGAAAATTAAACACTTCACAGGAAAACTGGAAAGGTGGATTCAGAACAGCAGTGTGACAATGAAAGAGATCAATCCTAAATTCTAAAGTTCAAATCCCAGTTCAGAGACCAACCACAAAGAAATAGATACTTGCAATCAATCACAAAAGGATTACACTATATAAAAAAAATCATACTTACATTTCGATGGAACTGTGTAAAGGACTGAATCATGTAGAATCGATGCATGTATACTATAGCAGTGTTGATAGTCAATTGTGACCTAATGTGTTCAAGTTAAGGTCCAAGAACAGGCAGGCAGGCAATATAATTCTCAAAAATATAAACTCTATGTCTTCCTGAAAAGACCAAATGGCCAAGCACAGTAGATGCCCCTAAATGAAAATCATACTTACCTCTCCAAACCAAAGAGCAGGTCTGTCTTCTTTCACCAAATTATCACCAACCAGCACTCAGCATAATGCCTCACACATAACAGATATTAAAATAAATTTACTGAATGAATAAACAAACTTTTGAGGATGTGTGGATTAAGACGGAATATAAACAAAACTATAAGATCTTAAACCTTTCTGTCACTTGCATTCTGAATATCCCGCAATGGCACTCCATTAGCTCAGGATATCTTTTTAACATGATTTACAAGGCCCTCCCTGATCTGGCTCCTGGGTTTGTCTCCACCATCTCCCTCATCTTCTAACCTCCAGCAACTAACTTTTCAGTTCCACTTCTCTCTGGCAAGCAACCCTTCTCACATGGTGATCCCTGGGACCAGAAACACTTTGAAATGATTTGATATTCATTCACCGAAAAGAAAAAAATGCCATACTTCTAAAGACCTCAGCAGACAAAGTGAGGTACAGAGGTGATGGAGTCCCATGACGGCAATAACCTAACACATATAAAAAGTAAGGGTTTTAATGATACACAGAAACCGAATTTCAAACAAAAAGTATTAAGTCCTTCCGTACTGACTGGAAGCTTTAGAAACAAATTGGATATCAATAGGAAACAAACTGGCAATAAAAAGGACATCTATTTTGAGATGAGCACACCTTAAAATACAAATACTACACAGTCAGCAACACATTTAAGTGGAAGATGCATAAATGGAAGCTGCACCCAAGAAAAACTATTCATATGCAGAGTGGAAAGAACTTTAAAACTGTATTAGTTTCCTCCGTCATAAAATGAACATATTTTGTAACAAAAATAGGTGGGAAAAGTTCACTAAACTACCTCATCTTTGAAATATGAAGAAAACGAATGCACACCATCACTCTGAGTAACTTAAGAACCCAATAATATTTTGTAAATGATTTAAAACATTAGATCCGTAGACTCAACATTCCTTCAAACCTAAACTGACATCCTTCCTCTGAAACTCGTTAAAACCCTAACGACAGCTATTAATGTGAACGTCTGAATTCCAAGCATTGTGCTGGGCATAAAACCAAATAAATGCAAAAGGTATCATCCCATTTTACAGCTGAGAAGACCAAGAATTTAACAAGTTACTTAAACAGTTAGTGAAAGGAAAGGATATTAAACCATAGCTGGAGCATTAATTCTAGGCCATCCTTCACAAGACCTTCAGGTACTGAATTTCTCCAAACTCTTCACAAACTGAGTTTGGGAGTCAGCCGTCAACAGTGACATCTCTACCAGACCCCTAGGGCATAGCAGAAAAGTAGAATCTCAAAGTCACCAGAGCAAGTCAGAAAACACTGAAGAGGGACTACGAGGAGCTGGTTAGAACTCAAAGCCGGGAAGGATACGAATTCCCAGCAAGGCTGGTGGCATGGCTCAAGAAGCGGGAAATTAACTCCACCTCGCTTCCCTCGCGCGAACTGTTTCAGCCCGCCCCATCGTGGGCTTTCCTACCTAGACATCCAGCTCCTGCCCATCTTCTAACCCACTTCCGTCCCTGACAGAGCCTGAGGCCTGGGCACCAGAGCATGGCGGGACCGACTCCAAAGCCGAAGGCCTAGGCCGCAAGGATACACGTTAAGACGTTGCCCCATGTCCTGGAGCAGCTTGGCCGCCTGTTGGCGATTCGAAAGTTCTTTATCTGGGTCCAGACCAAAACGACGGGATGGGCTATTTTCCAGCTGTTCTCGAGTAAAATACCACCGTTTGTTGTTGTTCTTCCTCTCTCCCTCCATACTGCTTCAACCAGAAGGCAGCGGCGGAGGCTGCAAGCACTTCCCAGCGTCACCTAAGCGGCGACGCACATCCGCTGTGCGGGGGCTACTGCGACGTGACGAACTTCGTTAAAAGTCGACGACCAGGTTGTGACACGCTTCCGCCGAGGAAGTAAAAGTCAAAGGGCCTACTTCCGGAATGGACCTCGCGACACCCTGTAGCCGAGTTTACAGCCAGTACGCGACCAGGAAAGACCTTGAGGCGAGGATGCAGGCGCCAGTCATGTGACCGTTGGGAAGTAGGGTGGAGTTAGAACTTCTCGTTCAAACCACGTCTCTTCCCGCGAGAGCTGGGCTCTGTTCGCGCCCTGGGCTAGGCGGGGAGCAACAGTTGCAGTGAAGCTAGGCACCCACCTGCGCGCCGCTGTGCGGCTCTTCGCAGAACTTCGTTTGAGGCAAAGGTGGCGATATAAAATGGGACAGATGGAGACCTTGACAGAGAAAATAGGTGAAACTGTCAAAACCTGAAAACAGTAATCAAAGGGGGTGGCCCTGTCGTAATGTAGAATACTACAACCCATTTGAAAAGCTGCTTTGCAAAATGTAGCCAAAGCCGCGAAAACGTTCCTGCGTTTCGCCACAGTGATCCGACTTAAAGGAATAAAATGAAATGAACAGCATTAATTTAGTACTTACGTGTCCCAGTCACAATACTGATTCTTAAATATGATGCTTTAATTTAATCGGCACAATTCTAAGAGTAATAATATTTTAATCTCTACTTATGAATGGGTGAACCTAAAACTTCCCTTTCAGTGTGGAACGCTTCCATCACCACCCCTCACGTGCATACTTTTTTTAAGTTCCCGTCCTCTATCAAGATGTGTCCCAACTCCAACGTCTGATAGCTGTTTCATCCTGGTCAAGATTATTAACCTCCCTGTGCTCTTCGATAAAATGTAAATGATATAAGACCTACCGTTTTAGGTTGTGAAAGGGAGTAAATGAAGATTTAACGAGTTAAAATCATTTATAGTAGTACCTAGTACGTAGAAAACATTCAGTAAGTCGTCTTGTTATCATAGTATTCATCACGGTTTATTGTAATTGAGGGCAAGGACAATGCCTTCATTTTTGTATCCCTAGCTCTACTTAATACAGCTCTGGCACTGGTGAATAATCAATAAATCTTTGTCAAATAAATGCTTACAACACCCTAGAATACAGAAACTGAGGCTCAGGGAGATCAAGTAGTTTGCCCTTCACTACACAGCTAGTAAGTGTAGATTTAAAAATCGAGTCTAATTCCGTTGTTCTTTCTATTCTAGCAAACTGTATTCCTCCTTTTCTGGAACCACACTCAATTTACTTTGATTAAATTTGGATAATTTTAGGTAAATCTGTACAATATTAGAATCCTTTGTCTTGCTTTTATAATATTTGGGGGTTTGTTATGTCTAGACATGCCTGCTCTTACTATCTTTGATTCTAATTCATTCTCAGAAGTGTTTCCTTCCATTTCAGGCCCTCTTCTACCATATACTGCCTACAATTAGTATTAGCTCTGTTTTACCCTGGAGAAATTGAGGTTCAGGAAGATTTAAATGATTTACTTCAGGTTATAATGTAAAAGACCTTATGAAATCAAACTTCTTCCATCACAGACTTTTTTCTTTTAATAGAATAAGCACTTTTTCATTTATCCCTCTTGCCTAATTTCAGACATGTGTTTGGTTCTCCACTTAATCTCTTGGATTGATGACTCCATATTGAATTTTCTGTCTTGGCTGAGTATACCACTCTTCAAGGAAAAAGTTCTGGTATCTGTCAGGCTTCAGGCAATGCAGCTGCTAATCGTGGCTTGCTACCCTAACACACAGAGGAGGGGCACCTTTGTAAATCAGAAAAAAAAAAACATTCTTTGACATAGTATGTAATTATTTGAAAGTAGGAAACAGTGATAATATAATTGCTAAATATATGAGTTTTTGAGTCAGGCCTAGATTCAAACTCAGTTATTCCTTTTTTTTAATCCCCAGCCATCTTAACCATTTTTAAGTGTACAGGTCAGTAAGGTTAGCTATATTCACATCGTTGTGCAACAGATCTCTAGAACTTTTTCATCTTGCAAAACGAAAACTATACCCATTGAACAGTTCCCTATTTCCCCCTGCTTCCAGCCCCTGGCAGCCATCATTCTACTTCCTATTTATTTGACTTTGACAACTTTAGATACCTCACATAAGCAGAATCATACAGTATTTGTCTTTTTGTGACTGGCTTATTTTACTTAGTGTAATGTCCTCAAAAATCCCCACTATTCTTTTAACTAGCTGTGATCTTGAATGTCATTTCTTCATCCTGAGAGAATATCTGGCACATAGTAGGTTTTCAATACATGTTTATTGTCAAGGTAATGTTAACCTTCAGATACATTGCCTTTTTATTGCTGTTGTTTTTGTTTTATTTTTGGCAGCTGGTCAGTGGGGGGATCCGAACCTGTGAACTTGGTGTTATAAGGTTGCACTCTAACCAACTGAGCAAACCAGCAAGCCCCAAATACATTGCCTTTAAAGAACAATTGACAAAATCTTAAGCCAGAGGAATTTTCCTTTTTTCTTTTTTTAAAAATGTAAATAGGACTACATTTTCTGTAAATCATACCTCTGGGGCTCCTCTTCCTATTCACTAGACTAATCTTGTTCTGAGAACAGGACTATACCATATTTTATGGTTTCACCTTATTTTACACTGTGGCTATGAATATCATATTTTAACCATGTCAAACATTACCATTTCTACTGTTATAATAGTTTCTCAACATTCATGTAGTTTCCATATTAAAATATGAAAAGACAATGTTCTATTTACCTTGCTCCCTAACTCCACGTTCAGTAGTGTCACATTGATAGCTTGAAATCAGCCTTGGTGGGGCTGGCCCGTGGCTCACTTGGGAGAGTGTGGGACTGATAACACCAAGGCCAAGGGTTCGGATCCCTGCATAGGGATGGCTGGTTAGTTCACCTGGGAGAGTGTGGTGCTGACAACACCAAGTCAAGGGTTAAGATCCCCTTACTGGTCATCTTTTTTTAAAAAAAAGAAAGAAATCAGCCTTGGTGTGTATGTACTGGTAACGTATTAATAACCAGGTATTCAGAAAAACATTGCTTATTGTTGGGTGGGAGGGGGGAGAGGGAGAAGGGAGGGGGGTTTCGGTAATGGGCCACAATAATCAACCTCATTGTATATTGACAAAATAAAATTAAGAAAAAAAAAAAAAGAAAAACATTGCTTATGTAAATATATGTAATTAAGTTCATTGTAAAATTTACTGATATAAAGGATGTATAACAGCACACAAATTTATTAAAAATTTATTTAAATTTTATTTAAAATAAAATATTTATTAAAATAAAATAAATAATAGAATTTGTTAAAAATAAAATTCGTATCTGTGGGTTCCACATCCATGCATTCAACCAACCATGGATCTAAAATATACAAGAAAAAATTGTCTATACTGAACATGTACAGACTTTTTTCTTGTCATTATTCCCTAAACAATATAGTATAGCAACTATTTACTTAGCATTTACATTGGATGAGGTATTTTATGATTTATAAGATAATTTAAAGTATACAGGAGGATGTGCATAGGTTATATGCAAATACTATGCCATCTTATATCAGGGACTTGAGTATCTGCTGATTTCAGTATCTGCGGAGGTCCTGGAACCAGTCCCCCAGGGATACCAAGGGATGACTTATACAATCTTCTTTATTGTAAATTTCCTATAGCTATCTGATTCTCACAGAATGCTTTCTTTGAGTTTTGCCAACCTCTTGAGTCAGGAGCATTTGACAAACAAATATAGTTTTGAACATTGGTTGATATTTTCATTTGTATTAATAAGATGAAAGTGAAATAATGAGATTTATGCTGAAACTTGAGCAACATCTTGGCTGAATTGGATAATAGTTTTTGAACACTGAAAGAATTTTTCAGGTTTTTTTGTTTTTGTAATGGCGGGAGCACTCCTGCGCTCCCAGCACCACACTCTCCCGAGTGCGCCACAGGCTCGGCCCCAACATGATACACTTTTAAACTTAGTCTGCATTGTTAACATTTTCCCTATGGCTCTTTTTTTTTTTTTTTAAATGGCTGGCCAACACAAGGATCCTATCGCTTTCTTAAGTTGAGACAATCAACGAAATGAATAAATCAAACTTTATTTATTTATTTTTAAAAAAATTTTTAGACTAGTCAATTGAGTAGTGAGAAGGGGGGAAAGAGTAGAACAAGGAGTACAATCTGTAACTATGAACAATCAACTGAGATAATTCATTACCTTCAGACCAGCCTGAATAAATCAAGCTTTGTTTGTAACATTTGCCAATTTCTGTGGTGTAAATTCTCCCACCATGGCTGATTTCAGGCTATCAATGTGACATCACTGATCATGAAATTAGGAAAAGATACACACACCATCACATAGTATTTCCTCCAGAGAGATGTAATAGATAGGGATTTCCAGTTTTCAGTCTGACATATAAAGAGCTTGAAAGTTATTACTCCCATCCTCATGACAAGAAAAAAGCTGAACAAACTGAACTTTAACAAACCTTCTTAGATCCATCATAGAACTGAGGTGACAGGCCAAACCTGCACCCCCAATACTGGAGAAACAGGTGGAATCAGAACAGGTGGAACAGAGAATCATAACTCACTGGAAGCAAAAACTACTATTGGAACCAGCAACTGGTAGGAATACTTAAATAGGGCAATTGACTAATTGCTGGAGACTGAACATGGACTGGCTTGAGAGATTTTAAGGAACTCTTAGGGTCTAGCCTTAAGAGGTCTCTTACATTTTTATGGTTTTGCCTCCAGGATTCTTGTCAGGTTCTCACTGTGAAGACTGAAGAAAAATCCCTTCATGCTTCCAGCAGGAAAAGGAAAAAGGAACCATTTTGAAATACAGCCAAAGTATTCTATTCTCCTTAACAAAAGCCTGCTCTCA